ATTATTCATATTTTGTTTTTATGAGTAAACAGACTGTCTAGTATCTGCGGTACTAGTCTGTTGGTGTTAGAAAGGTCTAGACTTCGGTATGTTACTAAATTATTCATATTTTATGAGTAAACAGACTGTCTAGTATCTGCGGCACTAGTCTGTTGGTGTTAGAAAGGTCTAGACTTCAGTATGTTACTAAATTATTCATATTTTGTGAGTAAACAGACTGTCTAGTATCTGCGGCACTAGTCTGTTGATGTTAGAAAGGTCTAGACTTCAGTGTGTTACTAAATTATTCATATTTAGTGAGTAAACAGACTGTCTAGTATCTGCGGCATTAGTCTGTTGATGCTAGAAAGGTCTAGACTTCAAGAGTTTAATAAATTATTGGATTTCCATTACCATTACTAAACAGATGTCCAATAGTTTTGAAACGTGTGTTATTAAAACAAGAATAAATGAAGCTGATAGCTTACACTATGACGCATACTTCAGACAACATTAACTACATTTATTTCTTACTGGTCAGATGTTACTATGACGTGTGAAACAAGTGACATATCCAGTGAATCACGTCTTTAATAAATGGTAACGTTTCTTTTATGGCTTCCCCGTGTATAAACGATTGTTTCTTATACAGCATCTTCACCAATGTCTGTAGGAAATTCATCAACCTTCTGCTAATTCAATGCGTGGTCTTCATTAGTTCTTAATACACTAACTAACAGTATTTCAGTATTTTGCTAATGTACCAACTAAAGCCTTATAATCAGTAATATACTAATGATAAACCATTAAAGCTGCAATCTATTAACACTTAACATAAGCCGGTGATAAACTGGCGTAATCCCCTTACAATGTGAAGACTTTATAAGGAGTCATTGATTTATGAAAAGAAAAATGTCCTATACGTTTAATTAATGGTTTTTAATATAAATAGCAGAAATGTTTCCAATCTACACTAACATTTACAAAATATCAAAACTATAGTTTTTGGTTCTTAGAATAATCTATCAAAGAATATCATTTTTGTTGTTGCTGTTACTGTATTTCACTGAATAGAACTGAGACTGTAAACCTGGATGGTATCTAATGCGCACGTGGCCAGGTCAGAGTCCCCTATGGTTCATATATAATTTTAATCAGTAGAAGAACAACCGGACAGCAGCACACATCACCAAAAAGGCTTTGTTCGTCTCTATGAGACGAATGAAGGGATTGACTGTTACTTTTATAATGTACCCTCAGTTGAAAGCACTGATCGTGTTCAGCGGCATCTTGTCTCGAACCTTGGATCTTTACTCTGCATAATCTATAATGGACTTATCTTATAATTAGAGTAGTCGAACATGTTGAAATGACTTTTTATAACCACCTTAGCCCCCAATGGCACAGCGGTATGTCTGCGGACTTACAACGCTAAAATCCGGGTTTCGATACCCGTGGTGGGCAGAGCACAGATAGCCCATTGTGTAGCTTTGTGCTTAATTCCAAACAAACAATAAGTTACAGCCATCATCCCATTAGGTCTTATAATATAATATAATTCTCACGCTGTGTGAAATGAGCTTACTACACCATATACCCGATAATCAGTCATAGTTTGCAGTTTTTATGTGTTACACTATACAATGTAATGTTAGAGCAGGAGAATTCAATGCCAGTTTTCGATAGAGGCAACGAGAGGGTGCGTTGTTCAGATCTCCTTTCAAAACTAATCTGATTACTTATAAGATACCCAAGCAAACTCTTTCCATTCAAAACTAATTTGTTTACTTATAAGATCCCCAAGCAAACTCTTTCCATTCAAAACTAATCTGTTTACTTATAAGATCCCCAAGCAAACTCTTTCCATTCACATCTATTGTTCACGTTAAAAACCCGCAATATCTCAGTTTAGCTCCCTTAATGTACGAGACAGTTTAACGTTTGTCACAATCAAATCAATAAAACCTGTTGTCTGGTTGTTTATATTGAAAAGAGATGTGTCTCAGAAACAACGATACAGAGTCGCCTCACCTAGCCAAGCATTAATAAACGAACTAATGTACTTGCTGTATTGTTCATTATAATTGCATTGCATATCTTATAGGCCCTGCATGGCCGATGGTTAGGTGCGTTCGATTCGCAACCTGATGGTCGCGTGTTCGAATCCCCGTCACACCAAACATGTTCGCCTTTCAGCCGTGGAGGCGTTATAATGTGACGGTTAATCCCACTATTAGTTGATAAAAGAGTAGCCCAGGAGTTGGCGGTGGGTGGTGATGACTTACACTGCTAAATTAGGGACGACTAGCGCAGATAGCTCTCGTGTAGCTTTGCGCGAAATTCAAAACAATCATATATGTATACACAATTTAAAAGTAAAATATTTTGATTTTGAAACATAGAGTGTTTTATGATATACATAACGCTGACGTCAGTATACGTGTCCAATTCATTATTTTTTCGGTTAAATAAAGGTAACAAAATGTTAAGCTCGCATTTTCTGTGAAAATATTCTGAAGGTAAAGATTAAGAAAAAAAAAAATTTCTCTATGTGTCATAAAAGATTAACGTTGAATTTCCTGTAAAAATAGTTTCCCTGCATGACTGTTTGGTTGTGTAAAAAAAAGAGGGCCTAACGAGACGCTCTTATGGTTTTAAAACAAATGATTCATTTCTACTGCAACATGCTAACGATGGAAAACTGTATCCGATAACTCTATAAGTAGATGTTATTATTGCGAAACATTACACTTCTGAAGATGACTCAAGATATACGTCGAAACATCTAGAGTGTATGAGATTGTTTTCCAATCACGTCGGAGATTTTACCACTTTTTAACCTTGTACAGTAAGTTATTATTTTCATTATTTTATTTTGATAATTTGGAGACTGGAAACAATCTTATTTTGCTGAATTGTGTATAAAATAATTGTTGTTTTTAAATAAAACTTTTTAGTTTCCAAAATTGAACATTACACACGTGCCTAAAAAAAAACATCTTAAAAAATCAATGAGCCATTGTTGCGAATAACGATTTTTTTGTTGTCCTCTTTTGCAAATACGCCGGTGCACAGTGAGTGACAACCCCCCTTTTTTTAACCCCCTATTTTAGTTTACTACAATTACTTCTATTTGAATAAAATATAATCTTCGCAACATATTCATGTAAAATCCAGTTATTACATTTTATCAACTATGTAATGGAAAATTCGTTTTGGACTTTTTTTTTCTGCCAATCATTTGATATAACCAACTTTATTTATTACGAATATCAATCAGGCTTAGTAAGAACGATGCCCTCAAGCAATACACATGTGTAAGAAATGTGGAGATAATACGTTCCCCGTTTGTGAGAGACCATTATTTATAAAAACCACACTGTGTTAGAACAGAAATGTAGTAATACATGTTAACGTCATAAAGATTTGATTTGCAATATGTATTAAACTATTTAAAGCTTATCTAATTCATTTGATTTTCCAATGTCTTGAGGCGGTGAGTTACCATCAGTTGGCTTACCAACAAAAGTTAACTACAAATCTCTCCCATGTTATGCCTTAAGTGCTAAATAGTCTTAAATTCTGTTTTTTAAGCCCATTCGGCTTTAAATTTGTAATGCTAGCGCTAAACTTTCATTCTCACTGTTGGATCAAACCTTAATTTTGCGAGCTGAGCGAAGAGAAACAACAGTTTCTGACTGCCCCTGGTCGTCTCTCAAGCCCCTTTCCGGTCTTGTTAGATATTAAAAACAAAATACCTACCAAGTTAATTGTTATTGTTGTTGTGTTTTGTTTTTTTTTTTTTTTTTTTTTTTTTTTTTGGGGTTGGGGGGGGTTCTAAGCTATATAACTGCAGGTATAAGCCTGAAAAACTCTTCAAAGACTTTATCCTTCTGCAATTAAATCGTAAAATATGTTTCGGAAAATCGCAAATTCTATTACGTTCCTGATATCAGAACAAGTATATCAAATTACAGCTTTAAAACTCCATATATCTAACATTTGTATATCAAGACTCATAAGTGGACTGTAAGTGATATTCATAGTACTTAACTTTGTGTTTGGTTTTCGCCAAAACTATTTCTAATACACAGTGTTACTTTTCTTCTAATTCAGATATAAAAGTAAACAGTATTTAGAGATAACAAGGTACGTCTCTTTGTATCATGTAACTTACTGATAATATAAGTGGAAGAAATGGGTACTTATTATTCGGTATTTAACTGACATACGGTGTTCCATTCAACGTTCTTTCCTGCTCAGAGCACGTATGTATACATCCAATTTGTTTTTTTTTTGTTTGTTTGAAGTTAAGCACAAAGCTACACAATGGGCTATCTGTGCTCTGCCCACCACGGGTATCGAAACCCGGTTTCTAGCGTTGTAAGTCCACAGACCTACCGCTGTGCCACTGGTGGTGGGGGGGGGGGGGTATACATCCAGTTAGAGAAGTATATAGACGCAGAAAGTTCACGCTCAATAACTCCACCAATTTCTTCATAACGAACGAGATTCCGCGTTTTCTTAGGAAAAGAATGACGTGAATTTATATTAGCCTTAAGAAAGATTAGCGAAACTTTCTGTGTAGTAGACAATGGAAATTTCATTGAACATTGTAACATTCAACAGTTTTCCTCTCGGTCTAATCGGTTAGATTAGAAAGTGTGTTAGTCTTCGTCCATCAGGGCCGGCATGGCCAGGTGGTTAGGGCGCTCGACTCGCAATCTGAGGGTCGCGGATTCGAATCCCCGTCACACCAAACATGCTCGCCCTTTCAGCCTTGGGGCATTATAATGTGACGGTCAATCCCACTATTCGTTGGTAAAAGAGTAGCCCAAGAGTTGGCGGTGGTTGGTGATGACTAGCTGCCTTCCCTCTAGTCGTACACTGCTAAATTAGGCATGGCTAGCACAGATAGCACTCGTGTAGCTTTGCGCGAAATTCAAAAACAAACAAACAAACAATCTTCGTCCATCTACCATGCAATACTCACCAACTTGGATTCAATCTGTCGAGTCTTTATTCTCCCAAATAATGCCCCCCCCCCAGTGGCACAGCGGTATGTCTACGGACTTTCAATGCTAGAAACCTGGTTTCGATACCCGTGGTGGGCAAAGCACAGATAGCCCTTGTGTAGCTTTTGCATAATTAAAACAAACAAACAAACCCAAATAATAGTAAGTTAAATGAAAACATCTATACCTGATTGGGTCTCGGATTTTTTTTTTAGCCTTTATTTGATATTTTGAAAGGTTATCGTATATTCTCACTTTCCTTCACAATATTATATTATTTCAATGTATGCTCATCTTCCCTGATGTCTTCATTTTTTTTTTATATACGTGATGAGTTAATAACTCACTGTAAATGTTTCAACCTGGTCTGTAATGTTTGTAATAAGGTGGTTTGTTTGTTTTGAATTTCTTGGGCTACTCTTTTACCAACGAATAGTGGGATTGACTGTCACATTATAACGCCCCAACGGCTGAAAGGGCGAGCATGTTTGGTGGGACGGGGATTCGATTGCGAGTCAAGCGCCCTAACCACCTGGCCATGCTGGGCCATGTAATAAAGTGGAGTAGGAACAGGGGGACTTGGATCTCACTCATTTTCATCCCCCAATATTTCAGAATATTTGTTTTAATTGTGTTTCAGGGAAAGAGAGAGAGAAATTTCGATCGCAAGGTGATTCTTTGATTACAGAAATATTATAATTTCTATAATACGGAGGAGGTCACGGAGTTAATTGGCTGTCAGTATGTAGGGGCATATTGAGATAGCTGGGAGTTTGTGTCGCAGGAAGTGTCACACCAGAATGTGCCACCACCATCCCAAATGTTCCACGTCTTCCTTCTCATCTGTAGTGAAATATGCTATATACCTCAATTTCTTTTTTGAGTCAAATAAATACATATATACAAGGTGAGTTACCCGTCCTTTGTCCGGGTTATGAACTTTAAAAAATGTGTGGGTAGATGCTATGATAAATAACAAAACAAAATCCTAATTTCACACAATTTATTTACAACATAACATATTACTGCAGTATTCATTGTTACCTCACCAAAAGGTTTGTATAAGCTTTAAGAACTTAATTTGTACATACGTAAAACATGGTATACACTGTGCTATGGTCAGGGTAACTTTGTTGGAAGAGATAGCGGACAAAGTGGTGGCTGTAGGGGTGCTTTCTTTTACCCGTTTTCAACACCCACCTATCAATGTCCTTTCACAGTGTTTCTTTTGTAATTACAAATATTGTTTGTTTGTTTTGTAACCATAGATTACAGATGATTGAATTATGACCATTCCGAAACGTCTAATAAATTCTTCCTGTTACTACGTTTGTGTTTTGTTTTATCGATAAGCTATATATTTCTGGTGTTAGGACGTGGCGTCATCTATAAATGTAATTAGCGTTAACTTACGTCAAAGATAATAAATGCTCAATAACAGCAATAATGGGGTTTAGGTGGTTGTGAATCCCCAATAACATTCCCCCTGTTCCAAACTATCATCCCACAAAGTTTGGTTGAGATTGACCCAACGACCTAGAAGTAGTTGGATAACGGACAGACAGACACACAGATTTATTTTGTGCTTTATATCTATATTATATATATATATTTCATCTTGTTAAAAATCTCTTCTGCTTCCAGCATGTTAGTAAAACATTTCTCCAAAGATTATATTGATAGATAAAAGAATGACATTAGTTGTATGATTTTTCAATTTTAAACAATCAATGACCAACATCAATGAGTACCGTTAAAATTAATCGCAATTCCAAAGCTCTATTCCATAAAATATAAAAAGATATTGCTTTAAACTGGTTGCTTGAGAGCTGTGTTTTCTATTTCGATGTGAAATTGATTTTTGTTCTTCTGAACCATACTCGTCAGAGCGTGAGCCGCATCAATTCACCAGAATATCTGGTGCATGCCTACATACATGTTCGTTTGATATATATGTGTGTGCATTGTTATGTCTCCCCTAAAGGGAGGGAGACATATTATATTTTCTGTGTTTATTTATTCTGCTTTCCAACTATTATAATTGTACACCATTTATATATTTCTGGGCCGATCGTTTTATAACACTGAGGGCACATACCTTGATCCAATAGGCTCAGACTTTTTATTTTATTTTTTAGTTCATTCCCATTTTCTGCTTTTAGGATGTCAAAGGTCAAACATTACAAACATATATTATGACCTGCAATCTCTTGTATTCCCATCAATCCAATTTAGACTTGGCACGAACATACCTTGACACAACCCCTTAAGACTAATTCAAACTAACGCTTGTGCTTCTCTCTCTCTTTCGATTTTACAGTGATCAAAATTTTAAAACTTCGACATTTATGTAATAAGAAACTCTAAACCTAGAAACTTTGTCTATAAGTGTAAACGTTGAAAGAAGCCGATATTAATAGTGTTTTCATTCACGTAATGTATAAAATTGCATATACCGTGTCAAAGAGTAGGTCTTATTTAGCCAAAAAATTACTTCTAAGGTTTTCATCATTGTAAATAAATGTACTTACGTATAAACTTTTATTGTCATGTGTATAATAAGGTTACAGTTTAGGAAACTCTAATACATCTTTCTCGGAAAGAAGCCTGAAGTTGATACTTTGTCAAGCGTATTTCTCTCTAAATATATATATATATATGGTGTAGTGTATGTCCTTTACCGACGATCTTATCGAATACGGTGGATAGGGGATACAATTGCATTCAATTGCGAATGTTGGCCTTTCTGGTTTACGTTTTATACATTTCGAGAATTATCATATAGAGAGACAGATAAAAATCGTTAAATAACTCTTGCGCATTATCTAAGTTATACCATCGGAAATAAATGGGCAACAAGCTATGACACAAAAATAAAACAGCTCAAAGTGTAATGCATTTTTAACTTGATAATTAATGTAGATATTCAATACTTTCTTAGACTCTTGCCTGAATGAAAATATTGTTTTTAGTTATTAAGAAGTAAGCTTTATTACGTTCAATACTCCATCTATAGATAAACAAGTGAAGTATATCTAAAGCACAATCCAAACAGCAGGCTAAGCTCGCTGTTCATAATGATATTCAAACCATAAATCGTGTTTGGGCTTTGTCTGGCTCTATTAAAAGCTTCCATCACTGTATACGACAGCCAAGCCTGAATTTTAATAGAATTGGAATTAGAATTTTCAACGTGAACAATATTTTATGCGCCCTTGGACTCAGCGGGCAAATCAGAAGCCCCTGGGATTCAGGTTTATTCGTGCTTAATTTTGAACTACTGACCAGGAGAAAGGAAGCCAGCCAACAGCCCCCTTCCCTACAAGGGCTTCTTCGGTTTGTATGTTTTTTAAAGTGAATAATATGATTCACTGTTACTTTTATAACGTGACCACAGCTGAAAGTGCAAAGCGTGTTCAGCCACATCAAGTACTGAACCCCCAGAATCTTCGACTCCCACCTTGACACGCTAAAAACTAGGCCACACCCGATCTAATACTTTTATTGAATTCTGTTTCTGTATTTCCTTTTAAGTCTCTATATCCTAACGAGTAATAAGGTTTTTCATCTCACATTTTTCGAAAATAAAACTTAAGTTTAAAAATGCTTGAAATTATTAAAACAAACAAGTATTCTACTTGTGGAAATGGAATACACAGTTTGTTTTGGTCTCTTATTATTCACTTATTCTCCCTTTTTAAAGTATGTTTTCTAAAATATTAAACATGTAACTCAAGTTTCAAGTATTTCATAGTGGTAAGAATTTAAGTTTGATTTTAGGTGTATTTTAGAATATTATGCAATGTTAAGTTTCTTTTTATTTTCAAACACTGTGTCCATCAGTTGGTTTATTTACTGTCTACTGTAACTTATCAACCATGTTTCTTTAACAGGTTACACAAAATGGCGGAATGTCCAATGGCTATTGACACTATGACTAATAGTACGATGATGGTCGTGGCCAACTCTTCACTTGAGTCTGACATTCAACAGCTAAAGTTCCTCGGATATGGCATTATTGGTTCAGTTGTGATTGGACTGGGAATTCTTGGAAATATGATCAATTTAATAGTACTTACTAGGCCTAACCTTAAAGGTGTGACTTTCGTATATCTGTCGTGGTTAGCTACTTCGGACTTGATGACCCTCTTGGTCAGCACCACTTCTTTACTTAGACTCCATGGAGTTCAGCCACGCAGTTTTGCTGCATCTTTGTATTATGCTTACGTGGAGTTAGCCCTAGTTAACGCCTTCATGGCCAGCAGTGTTTTTCTGGTAGTGGCATTGACCATCGATCGCTATTTCTCTGTTTGTTTGCCCACCAGGTATAAAGAAGTTCATAACAAACGCAGAGCCAGGAGGGCTATAATAGTTGCTTACGTGTTAGCTTTTTGTATCTACGTGCCCATTTGTTTCCAGAAGAAACCCGTTGCAGTGCACACGGAAAGGAATGAAACTATCTATATCGCCTGTGAAAACCCCACCGTCTTCAACCACACTGGCTTCAGATTCTATCTACTGATAAAGGAGATCATCGTGAGGATTGGTCCAGTCATTGTTCTGGCCATCTTGAATATCGCCATCATCGTGGCTTTCAGAAGAATGGTCCGCAAACGAAGAAGTCTTCTCAACAGCTCAAATTCTAGTCATTCGAACCAAAAAGAGAGCAGTAGAAAGTTAATGGAAGAGCGCCGCCTGGTTGTATTACTTGGAGGGATTGTACTTTTGTTCTTTGTGTGCATGACCCCAGCGGCAGTCTTAACTCTTTTAAACAGTGACCACAAAGAACTAGAATTTGGCTTTCAGTTGTTTCGAGCGATTGCCAACGTCTTGGAACTAGCAAACTTTGCCATGAATTTTTATGTGTACTGTCTATGTAGTTCCGAAATTAGAACAACTTTTCTGAGATTATTTTGTTGTGTTGACGTCCAATTCCCTGAACAAAACTGCGTCAATCGACTTCATATGGAAAACAATACTAAAATGTAAATACGATTACTTAACTCGTTTAGCTGATCTTGTGAATGTATGTCCTTGTTGCTTCGTGGTCGAACGTTCACTTTGTACAAGAATAAAATGTATTTTATTCCATCTCAACGGTGGTAATATCTGTGTGATCCATGCAGCAAATCACAGCCACTCTTTCAATCAAGCAAATAAAAAAATAATTGGAAAATTATGTTAGGAAACTACACATATGCCCTTATCACAAATCAAGATAATGAAAGCTAGACACCGAGTTTCGATACTCGTGGTGGGCAGTGCACAGATAGCCCATTGTGTAGCTTTGTGCATAACTTAAAACAAACAAACGGGTAATAAAAAAAAGAATATATACGATTAAAAAGATACTGTGTAGAAAACTTTTCAAAGTTTAGAGATTCGTTCTTCGAAAACACTGAATGCCTTATGAATTATAATTAGTTTCTTGACTTTTAGGACTTGCAGATATAATCTTTATATAAATCATATTATTATTGGTTTCATAAAGAATTAACAATGTCAATTTTAAAAATATTAGTTTAAAATGGAAGCTAAAAGAGTTCGCTAGAGAACATTTTCAGAATAAAGTGTATTAACATTGGAAATGTTGAAGTATTATGTTTTGTCTGCTTTATAAAAGCATATTCAATTCAGAAAACCATACTTAGATGCCAGAACCGTGTGACTTGTGTTTAATGTAACTTGTTTCAAGCATTGACTAAATTTATGAATTACTAAAAGGGTCAGTAATACGATATCAAAGTGGATTTAATGATATTTGTATCATTTATCTTATTTTAAACATCTTTGATGTTGAATAAAGTAACACAATGTGGTTTTCTACGCCATTTGTTAAGTAACAACAGGCTTATGTTTCAACAAGAGATCAAAGAGAAATCTCGTCTCCTTTGATTCTCATATAGAGAATTCCAAATAGTTCAACTAGCCAGTTAAAAAAAACAGAAAAAAACTGGGAACGTGTAGTTTATTTAAAAGTTAATTTGACAACAAACTGGATATTTGAGCTTTAGAAACTATTACGCTTTATATTTCGCGGCTTCATCTCGTTAAATAATGAAGTTCAGAAATCCAACAAGCTAAAGAACGTACGCTAATAAAAATAATGGCCTTATTTGTTTATTTTAAACATCACACTGCTATAATAAATTCTCCATACTATCTCAAATTCTCTTGCAAGCTTTTCTAATTGTTCAAGAACTTTCTTAAGTGTGCGGGTTTCTTGGGGGGGGGGGGGGGAAGAGGGAGGTAAAGAACAATAAAAACATAATTATTTTGTTTTCGTTTGGTTTGAATTTACAAATATACACAATTTTTTTTTCCGGAATTTCCTTGAGAGAGAGAGAATGTACAGTGCATTGCAGGAGAATCAGCTAAATTATCGAACGGTGAATTCCAAGCAACACTTCAAAGTGTTGGATATAAGTACACGTTCAAATGTTAAAGTTCAACCCTGGTGATGTCCGTAACTCATCAGTAAGCTCGAGAGTTTATAACATTAAAAGTCGGTGTTCAGTTCCTGCAGTGGGTGCTGTTGGCTAGCTGTCTTGCTTCTAGTCTATCAGTTCGAAATTACGGATGGCTAGCGAAAAATAGTTCTACATCAGTAATAACGCAATCATAAAAGTATTACTTTCCTCTATTTTTTTCCTTTGTGGATGAAACCATGACATTCTCTTCGCGCCTTTCATTATTACTAATCCCCTTGTTACATATCCCTTTGGATAGAAAATGATAGTAATGATATTTATTACATCGCTTCCGCAATAAGACAGTGGTACGCAAACTTTTTTATGGTTTCCCCCCCCTTTCTAAACATGTGTTTTGTTACACACACTCTTATAACCTTGCCTGGCATGGCCAGGTGGTTAGGGCGTTTGACTCGCAATCTGAGGTTCGCGTGTTCGAATCCCCGTCCCACCAAACATGCTCTTTCCAACGTGAGAGCGTCATAATGTTACGGCCAATCCCACTATTTGTTGGTAAAAGAGTAGCCCAAGTGTTGGCGGTGGGTGGTGGTGATTAGCTATCTTCCCTCTAGTCTTGCACTGTTAAATTAGGGACGGCTTTGCGCGAAATTCAAAACAAAACAATCTTACAGCCTATTTGTTTATATACTGTACACGTCATTTTGTCGTTGCAGTTTTAGTTAACAGTAGTAATGTTTGTGCAATAGTTTTTAAACTTTTAAATTTGTATTTTTAGATGTTATTTAAATGCTCCTACCGTCATAGTTCGAGCACATTCTTCTTCTCTACAGTCATGTCACTTAGTGTTCCACTTAAACATTTCTCTCCTAATAAATGATCATTATCACATTAAAGTTGATTTTTGTTTCGTTGTTAAGGGCAAAGCTACACAATGGGCTACCTGTGTTGTACTCTCAGAAAGTATTGAAATTTGATTTTTCGCCTTAAAAGCCTCGAACTTATCGCTGATGTTTTGTAAAAGTTGGGATTTGTTGTAGAACATTTTCTACTTTTTATGATATTTCTACACGTTTTATATATTTTTATATATTGGATTTATATGCAAGCATGCCATTTTTTATGTAATGGAAAAAAAATCTTCCTATCGAAAGTCGTTTGTGACAATATTAAAGATTATATTGTACTGCTGTGACATATCATATGTTTTCTATTAGCTTTTGTGATATAGATATTATTTAACTTTTTCGTTTAGTTAGTTTCTATGCTGTTATAGCATAGACACGTGGTCAAAAAGTCGTTGAGATTACATTGTTATCTGTAGTAAATATATCACAGTAGCATATAGTATCAGGGTTGAAAGGATTAGCACTGCGGTACCTTATGCTAACCGAATTTGACGTTGTCAGACCGATACAGCCAAGTGTTGGATACACAAGACTGTTTAGTGCAAGAGTTATTATTTAGTTTAGTTAGCAATTTAATATTTACTGATTATTTAGTTTTCATAACAAGTGTTAAAAATTAATTATTTTAACAGCAATACTTGTCACAAGTTTCATTACGTAACGCTGTATGAGTTGTACGTTGTGTATACAGTTTAATTGTTGTACTAGGCTTTAGTAATATTGTTGACGTCATTTTACTCGAAGTTACCAAGTTTTTCTCGTTATGCGTAATATTGTTGCTACTAGAGGGCTAGAGATTTCTAGATTATTCTGTCGCGTGTTATAAATACGTGCAGATAGAAGAAAGTAAGTTAAATGAGAGATAATAAGACAGATCTAGACTGAGTGGTTGACAATTTAATCGTGACAGGCGATTTTTTTAGAGTTTCACAGTTTAACAAGGATAAGTAGAAATAATTGTCTTGTCAAAGGGTGTTCTAAAGTAATTGAACTCGTCTGTGTGGACTTTGACGAAAAGGAGACAATTATTTAAAATTCTGGATACAGCTGTGGTAACCTACGGGTTAAAGTAAGTGAATCTATGGCAGATTGTACAGTAAGAAAAAAAAAAAAACAGGTAGAAAAGAATATTTCGTCTTGTCATTTGGGTTATAAAGTAATTGAACTAGCCTGTGTGGACTTTTTATAAGAAGAGAGAACTATGCTAACCAATGGTGTAACGAATTTTTCTACAAACGTTTGACTTGTTTCGAATATATATGTTTTTTTTTTTATAACAAGTGGATTGTTTGCTGTCCAACGAGTCATAGACACCCACTGTAAAAGAATCTCCCCTACAAGCACAGAAACTTGACACCGACCAATGCCGTGAGAGAAGAAAAGTCACGAGGTGACGCTGTCAGTTGGACAAATAAATTGAATTTACCTGTTGAATTCAGGCTCGCTTTCATTGTTCAGTTCTACTTGTTTTTCTTCGTGACTAGTTCAGCCGAGATTCATCATGAGAAACAGACCTGACGAACTATTCACTGGCGCCCCCCAGTGGCACAGCGGTATGTCTGCGGACTTACAACGCTGGAATCCGGATTTCGATACCCCTGGTGGGTAGAGCATAGATAGCCCATTGTGTAGCTTTGTGCTTAATTACAAACAAACAAACAAACTATTCACTGGTCCAGTATAGAGGCAATCGTCCACGTGTCTAAACAGGCACATAACACTGTTGTTGTTGTTGTGCTTAAATAAAGATTGTTTTTCACTCTCCTTCAAATGTGTACAATCTGTTTATTTTTCACGCAAGTTAACACTCAGTCAACGGCCCGGCATGGCCAGGTGGTTAGGGCGCTCGACTCGCAATCTGAGGGTCGCGGGTTCGAATCCCCGTCACACCAAACATGCTCGCCCTTTCAGCCATGAAAGCGTTATAATGTGACAGTCAATCCCACTATTCGTTTGCGCTTGGTGTTGATGACTAGCTGCCTTCCCTCTAGTCTTACACTGCTAAATTAGGGACGGCTAGCGCAGATAGCCCTCGTGTAGCTTTGCGCGAAATTCAAAACAAACAAACAAAAGAATTCTGATTTCATTAATCTACATAACTCACGTGCTGCACCATTCAGTGAAACTTAGAATTCATTTCTATATTTTCGATGCATTGTCTAAAAAACTGAAGTCCCAAAGTTGGACAAATGGCTTTTGGCAGTCAAATTGCACCAATTGTAGATAATTTCATTAGAGGTATGTTTCATCTCCTACCGTGACGATTGTGACTGTATATTCACATTATATTAGTGCTTCTGTCAAAGTATTGTAGCTCTCGTTATAATATATAATATTTTTATATCTATATTAATATAATATATATATACAGTCTTTTCTTCTTACTTACATGTCATCTTGTAATCACTTTTTGTTGAAATTTCTGTAATTCTGTTAAATCTGTGTATAATTTGATCAATTTGAGCAGGTCAGATTATTGGACAATTTAGGAACTTTCACTAACAGAAAACAAGAATCGTGGTAATTTTGTTTACTCTGTTACGACAATGAAATATGTTTAAAGGTAAAGATGGTGTAAGGTATATAGGTGATGTCCCTCACTGTTGAGAATAGTGTTGATATGAAAATGTTAGTTTTATAGTTTGTATAATACTCATGACAGTATCAAGAATTTCCTGTTGCCAGATGGAGGTAGGCAGTACGACCTGCAACTGCCAACGCCGAACACCATCCAACTTAATAACCTGGCAACTCCTGAAGT